GGGATCAATTGTCACTATCAGAGTAAATAGGGGGGCGGGGACCATATGAAACATGAGCGCCATGGTTGGGGGGGGAATCATGAAAATCACAACTGCAAGCTTAAAATCTTTTTGCGACACATCCAAAATCCTTCGAGCCTTCAGGAAATTATCAGTAAGCAGTCACAAAACAAACCTGATATTTGACGTATCTGTCTGTTATTTCGCAGGTTCGTCCCCGAAAGTGAGCGCGAGTAAAGATGGTAAAATGTCAGGAGGAACTATTGCGGGTATTGTGGTTGGTGTGATTGCTCTCATCATTGCCATTGCAGCTGGTGCTGTTTGCTTCAGAAGGCACCGTCGAGTTAAAAGCCAATACATGCACAGTCTTATGGTGGATATGGACGAGCTGTAAGAAACTTAACGACTGAGATGCGAGTCTTTTCTGATCTTGCAGTCATCACGTTTTTTGATGCTGTTGATTCCACCATAAGAACATGGTATTTCATGAATACAAAGGCAAGTTAAAATGGTCTTCGTGACAGCTTGAAGCAGAAGGAAATTAATTCCCTAGGTTTACATCAGTTTGACTAGGTACAGCAAGAATTAGTTTTCGTAAAAGAGGAATGAGGAAGCAAAAATGGATTAGTTATTCGTAGGTCCCCCCAGAAAGAAGGTTTTTATTCCTACTCTGTTTTGTGGTTAGTTTTGTTGGTTTTCTTGAGAGCAATTTGGTATCTTACATTTGTTGTTTTTGCAATACACGCTGTGATTAAAATCATTCCTTAGTTCGGATAGTATTATACTTAATGAGAAATTACGAAAGGATGTCTGTGTCGTCAAATCTTGAAGTTTTAGACTTAAACTAAATTAAATGTCAAACGAGATCACTTCACAAATAAAACACTTGTAGTGAAAGACATTTTTGGTGATGTCCCGCTTCATAAAAGTCAAACCAAGCCCTGATGGAAAAAGAAAGTCGCAGCTTGATTGTTCGGTTCAGTACATCGATAGAGCGGCGGTTTATCCCAGGGGGAGGTGTCATGTTCAGTACATCGATAGAGCGGCGGTTTATCCCAAGGGGAGGTAACATGGTAATTACATTAATAGAGCGGCAGTTTATCTTAGGGGGAGGTAACATGGTAGATACATCGATAAAACGGTGGTTTATCCCAGGGGGAGGTGTCATGTTCAGTAGATTGATAGAGCGCCTAGGGGGGAGTGTAATGTTTATTTCAATGATGGATCGGCCAATAATACGGTGTAATAAACACATAAACACGAGCATTTCTTACACAGCGTTGAGGGGTTAGATAAGATCGAGGCCGTTTTAGAAAGAATAAACTGGAACATTTTGATCAAACCTCATTAAAAACTTATAACAGATATAAAACATAAATAAAAAGAACTAACATCACAAAGCAAAAGCTAGTCTGAAAATGAGACCGGGGAACTCTCTGAATCCGCCCCTGACACACGAAACTATTCCAGGAGTCTATATTTTTCCAGCAAGTAATTTTAATAGACTTTGATGTTGCAAAAAAAAGAAAATGAAATCCTTAAACAATTTATTCCTACTCTTCGGTTGTGAAATCTTGTTGTCTTTTGTAACCTAGCCAGCTAGCAGGAGTAACTCCGCGCCACTTCCACCAGATGAGCGCCGCCAGTCCGAGTGCAACAATAATGAGGGTTGTCAGGACAGCCACGGCAACGACCCACCCTTTGGGTCCTTCATCAACATGTTCCACTGATGGTGGTTCTGTGCTGGGTTCTGTAAAACGATCTATTCTTTGATTAACCCTTTGCTCCCAAAATCTAAATAGTAACTCTCCCCACTGTCTATTATTCATTGCTTAGCATATCAGATCTGAGAATTTAGCGTTGAATCATTGTTTTTTTTTTCACCTAAGCGATATGACTCTTGACAATGTTGAAACAAAAATTGGGCTTTCTTTACGACATACTGCCGAGTTCTTTAACAACAAAGAAACAGCATGTATAAATCTCATAACGTGAACGTTAAAGCACTTGGTTAGTACGCTTCCAGATCCTAAAACAAGTCGAAAAGCTGGTGCGCCTGCGTTTCATGTAATTAGGAAAATGACCTATTGGTCACTCCTAAGAGTGAAAGAGTTTAATAATGATAAATTATTGCCAATATGCTATGCGACATAGAATTTCACAGAAATCGTCGCAATTTTGACGAGTTTTTATTTGTTCAGGGAGTGGTAATGAAACCATGAAAAATGAAAATATGATTTTATGTCCCGAGAAGCTTACAAAGCATTGGCTTTTTTGTTCCAGTATTTAGTCTTTCGTGTGCTCGACCAAAGAAAAGGCGAAATTTCGAATCAAGCCTCTTGTCGCTTGATTTCTCAAAGCGGATACAAAACCACAAATTACGCAAGCTTGATACTGAAGGGTACATTCTTCAACAAAGAAAGTATCGTTTACTCTGTTACATAACTAATATCCAGGTTCCTCTTGATATAAACCTTACCACAACAAAGGGTTTGATTAAATTTGATTAGCAGAATATTTCAGAAGCCAAAAGAGCAAAACTCAGGAAAACCCTTGAACCCCTAAGAGTGTTTAGCATCTAATTTGTCCTCTACACTATCACCCCTCAATAACACACCGGGATGAAGGAAAAGATCACTAACTTAAGAAGGTCTTAATTATTAATTAAATGGGATATACGTAGAGGACAGTATGTAGAAAATGCATACTGATGTTAAGGTGTAAATGTTGAATAAAGGCTCACCTTCTTTATAATACCTCAGCCACGAAAATGGTTCAGGCCAGTCTGTGCGATCACAAAATCCATGACTCGTGTTACCCGGTGCTAGGAAGGCACATATTTCTGCACCCATGAAATTGTCACTGAAACAATAGCACGGACGCAATTGCGATTAAGAATTACCTTGGAAAAAAAAAAAACCTACGGAACTAGACATGATTTAACGCCGGTGTGTGTGTGTGTTTGGGGGGGGGGGAGGTTTTGTTTGGGGATATTTCAAACAGTTCGCCAGTTATCGTTTATATTCTTGGCTGATGTGAGACAATGTCATCCAACTGTGTCATCCAGGAACACACCACTTTTAGCATGCCGTCGCCTTAACTCGGATCTCCCCATAAAAAGCTCAGCGCTCCAAACTTTAGGGGAACGCCTCTCCTGTACTTCTACAACACTTATAAGATATACGCTTACCTGAAAAAATCTGGACATTTCCTTTGAATATCATCACAAACCGATCTGCACAAGGTTTTTAATTTGGGACTCCCTTCCTCTGGAAAACATGGAGGGAACAGTTCTCCACAGAATAACTTTTTGATGTCTGTTGAGCAATCCGAAAAGTTTGCCGCCTGTTTTCTCACAAAAATGGGAAAATCTTGATCTAAATCTTGCCCGTCGCCATATGTCTTGTTGTAGAAGATCTTGTAAAACCTCTTCTGAACTGACTCCGCAAATATGGTATGATTGTAAAAACCCAGGTTTTTGCAGGCGGGAAAGATCAAGTTTTGACAGCCGCGATCAAGAGGACCTACAGTCAAAGCAAAGAAAAACGAAAAAGTTAAACAAACAGCTTTTTGAGTGCATACCGACTGACTTTCGTTAGGCCAAAAACGAAACAATGACAAAGGACGATCAGCGATCCATCAGAACTAAGATAATTTGGTTTTATATCAACTGAGTTGATAACGTAAATTGGCCACCGTAAAAATTCATAAAGCTAACGTTTCGAGCGTTAGCATTTCGTCAGAGCGAATAAGCGGAGAGGTAACGCTCGAAACGTCAGCTTTGAAACTTTAAGTGAAGTAAAGCAAACACAATTGTTTAAAATTGTACTCCGAGTTTTATAACAGCAGTCTTCATCGGGATTCATCGCCTTGAACTTGCCAACATTTGCAAGGCTTTTTCCGTGACAATATCTTTTCCTCCCTCCCTCGGTCAGGTTATCAGCAGAACCAATCCACCTCCTGCATATTTTACGTCGGAGAGGAAGTTAAAAAAAACAAAACAGCTTGTTCTCGGGGTTACAATGAAATACGAAAACGCGTAGTAAAGCGAGGAAAAAAGAAGGAGGACTATTTACCCATTCTGTTGCTTTGCGCCGGCATTAATGCACCGTTGCTTTCAACACCTGGAACTGGGTTTATTTTGGTGGATAAAATAAACAAACAGACTCTACAAACTTACTCGATATGTTGTTATTTGGAGTGAAGCCAGGCGGCTCGAAGCATTTCTCACTACTCGCTGTTTCATTTGGTAGAATCAAACACGAAGCTAGAAACAAGTCCATGTATAGCTCACGGTAGTCACTTGTGTCATTCTGACACTGCTTCAAAAGCTCTCCGCATACTCGCCTGCAAGGATAGACGCGCGTTCCCTTCGAGCTACACTTGGGCACGAAGAACGAACATTCCATCGCTGTGGCCAGACTAAGAGTTGAGCAATTTCTCCACTCCTCTATCACGAACGTCAAAAAACCAGCGGCTTCGGCTTGACGCTTCGCTGTGAATTCCTTGGGAAATGATAGCGTGCTGTTGTATCCACCTTTTGTGCAGAAGTCAAAATGTCCATTCGCAAGGCTAACACATTTGCCTTCGATCGATTCATCACAGACGACGGTTAGAATACTCAAGCTGCATATTAACAGCACTATGATCTTATTAAGAAAGCAGCCTGGCAATGCTGGCGAATGAACAGGCATAATACGTGATGCTACAGTTCTTTCTTCACGTCAAAATGTTTGTGCTTCGTAATTTAATATCGTATTCCTGCTGCGAGGTGTCACTTGATAACAACATTGGCTGATATTCACTGCTGTAGGTCACGATATCCCTAACCCTAAGCATTTACATACTATCTATAACGCCGCTGAGAATATACCTAGGGCGCAGTTTTCAACGCCATGTGCGTTGCTTGAGCGTTTCTTGAAGTGTTTTTTTTTGGCCGTTTTTGCCGAGTTTGTTTTAGCGAAGGATTTTAGGCTGTGTGAGAAGCAATAACTTCGAATCGTCACCGGATCGATCCTCATTTGTCATTCGTTGTGATTATACTGAACAAGATTACAAGGAATCTGGACGCAAAGAAGTTGTTGCGTCGTATTTATTTTCAGTTGCCAAGCGTAGCTGGCCCCTACAATATCCAACCTCACCAGTGAGCTATGGGAAATAATTTCTCCTAGAGCTGGCACCGCAAGATAAAATTAGTTTCGTTTGCACTTTGTTGAAGGTGATTTCGTGGACTTTGAGCGAATAGGGGGGCTGGTAGTAGGCTACTGATCCTACAAACGGTGACTCTAAGCCCTGTTTAAGATAATAAATCTCCCTACATCGATACCTCTATCCAAATGTACCTCCGTCATGTTTCAATTTAGCCCAAACAAATATCTTACGTCATCCTGAAATATAAGGCTAGTTTTCCCTCGCGTGCGAGCATAAGCATCTTACAACTCTACAAGGGCACGATGGATCAGATAAAGAAAATAATTTTGGTTTGAGGATTTTGAGTGTCGTGAAACTTTGTGAAATTTTCATTGAAAGCAATCGCACGATATTTTTTAAACCTTCGTTGGCGCGTATGAACATTCTTGTTCATGAAATCCTGATTTTGGCGAGGAGTAGGGCATTAGTTCAAGTTTTGATTAAAACAAATTGGTTCTCGGTTTTTCCCAAAGCCTCAACGATTGCTTTGTAGACAAAAACATGCAAATATCAACAGTATCATAGGGGTTCAAAAGTAGATATTTTGATTAAACACAATCGTAACTCTTGGTACTTTTCTAAAATACGAAACGGGTCTGGGAGGTTGAAAAGGAAAGAGGAGTTTTCTTCTGTGAGAAAATAAGATCCAGGCCAGTAGGACTGGGAAATGGGAGGAGGATAGGTTTGGAGAAAGTGTTGGATGGGAAATGG